AGGTTAAACAAACCTTATATTTGTTAGCAATTTAAGAGATTATGTGGTGGTTAGGCACATTAGTGTACTTTTTGTGATATGAATCCTTAATCCTACTTAATGTATATCATTTATTACATCAATTTTACATCTAATTTCATGACTTACTAAGCTTTTAAGAATTTTTTAGCATAATTTTCAATATTATTACTGAAGTGGGTAACTCTTTACTCATAATTAAAGAATAAATAACTAAATATCACTTTAAGTTGTGCAAAGAAAAAGTACCATTTTTTTTATACAGTTATGTAGTTTTTTGTTTCTTTACTCATGTTACAAATGTAAAATCAATGTAATTCTGCCTCTAAAAAATCTAATAGGCCTTTGAAGTTTGAAGTTTATTTTGTTTCAATAACATTTGAAGGTTGATCTGAGTTCTTTGGGAAAAAGATCACATAAATTCACTTTCTGCGTTGATCATGTTGGCATTTCTTCTCAAATTTGATGGAGAAGCCATTGGTTTTTTAAGTTAAAGAATTTGCAAGTATTTTTGGAGGACAAGTTTCTTTCAGCAGCCTAGGCATGGTGAGCATAGCTAATATTTGCTGTGAGTGAGCAGGCATGATGAGCATAGCTAATATTTTAACTTTTTCGCATTTGGCTTGCGCCCTTTTTTAATATTTATAATTAATTTTTTCCCTCAGGCAGAAGTATGGCTGGGTGAAGGATATGGTAGTTTGAAATATCAGGCTTATTTGGAAAAATTAGATTGTTATGAAGGAGATTTCATCTTCATGAAAATGAATACCAAAAACTTTTAAGAATATTTTAAAATTATCTTATTCAAAATCCTTTGGTTCAATGCTTTAGGAGGATGAGTATTTAAGGGACTAATATGATTTTTGGTTTCTATCTCATATGTGATGTTAGAATTTACATTTTATATGCTATAATACTTCTAGCATTTTAACATGATAATCCAATCATGTATGGTTCTTGATTTATTTCTAAAAGTTATAATTAATCTTAGTTTTGCACTTCAATTTCTTATTAATCAAAAGAATATATCTTATCCATTTGGTAATAATGTTGTCAAATAATTATTTATGACGGTAGAGGACATTACAATAGAAATTAAACTATAAAAGAGATTACCTAAAGTTTTTTTCTTACTCTTTTTAGGCTTTGTCAATTTCTCAATTACATTTTTATGAAAAAAAATCCTTGCAACTGAGGTCTACCTCTGAATGGTAAACTCATCACAATTATTTCAATTGCTTCCTCACTTCTACTTTGCAAATTAATTTTACTTTTAGCTTTACATGTTACAATATAAAATTAATAAACCATATTCATTTGAAGAGTAAATTTGTAAAGTTTAATTTTGTTATTTAATTTTCCTTGTTTAGATTATAGATGAATAGGTCCTAAATTTTTTATTAATTTATTCTCTTTACCATCACTATTTTAATTCTCGTAGCAATAAATATTAAAATTGACTTACAATAAATATGATACTTGTGCCAATTTTTAATATGAGTTGAAGAAATTTTAAAGTAAGGACTAATTTTTAGACAAAATAGCAATCCATGAATGAGATAGTAGTAGAAATTTGATTTTATGTAATGCCTATATATATCAAATTATCAGTAATAAATATTAAAATTGACTTACAATAAATATGATACTTGTGCCAATTTTTAATATGAGTTGAAGAAATTTTAAAGTAAAAACCAATTTTT